TTAAAAAAGATCAGTGTGTGGTGGTGTGCACCTGTAGGTCTAGCTACTTGGGTAGGCTGAGGCAGGAGAACTGCTTGATCCCAGGAGTTAGAAGTCACAGTGAGCCATGATCACACCATTACACTCCAGCCTGAGCAATAGAGTGAGATCTGGCCTCAAAAAATATATACGATCTGTTCATATAGAGCAGATGAACTGTTTATATATGTCCTCTCACAGCTGCATAACTTACCTGAAGCCAGCTTATTGAAAATGCACCTTTGCCACAGGAGGAAGAAAGCTCCCACCTGTGTGTCCTTGTCTATCTACTGGACAATCCCTTCTTTCACAAACCATGTCCTTCCCTTATAAGCTATTTATATGGTATATTTGTCAGGGTTTTCCTGAGAAACAGGATACAATATATGTAAATATGTAAGAGAAGATTTATTAAGGGAATTGGCTTGTCAACTATGGTGGCTGAGAAGTTCTATGATCATCCTTCAAGCTAGAGAATCTGGAAAGTTGATGGTATAATTCAGTCTGAATTTGAAGGCCTGAGATTCAGGGGAGCTGGAGATCCAGGAGCTCTGATGTCTGAAAGCAGGAGTAGATGAATGTCTGAGCTCAAGAAGAAAGGGTGAATTGATCATTCCTCTGTACTTTTGTTCTATTTAGGCCATCAGTAGGCTGGATGGTGCCCACTCATGTTGATGTGGGCAGTTCTTCTCATTTGTCTCCTGATGCAGCTGCTAATCTCTTCTGGAAACAACTTCACAGACACACCCAGAAATAATGTTTGAACAGCTATCTGGGCATCCTTTAGCCCAGTCAGGTTGACACAAAATTAACCATCACAGATGTCTCTTGGGAGTTGGGTAGAAGAAGTGGCTTGAGTCTAAAGTCTGCATTTCCTGGGTATTTTTGTCAGCTGGCTACTGGCTGGGTCTGGCCATTGGAAGGCTTTGGAGAGACAGAAGAGCAAGAGGGAGAAGCAGTGAAATTTCTCGCTTCCCTCTTTGTCTTGACAGTGTTTCCACCAGTGGCTGCATCTGTCCAGCTTCACAGGACAGGTCTTGAATGGTCCTAGCTTCCCTGGCTCCAAGGTCTAGGAGCACTGTCTCTTTTATTTGTCCTTCCAGCCTAGGGGTGGTGGCAGCTTACTGTGGATGCTAATCTCTGGTTGTAGTTTCACTGTTCTCTCATTTGATTCTCAGCCTCCTTCATTACTTGTTAACCAGTTTGATGCATTAAATTCCCTCTATTTTTAATTCTGAGTTTCCTGGTTGGACCCTGACTGACAGAGTGTTGTATTCTCTTCTATTTTGTCTGTTTTACCAATAAAGATGAAGTGCCCAAGTGGTGCTGTCCAAGTGCGACAGGAGTGACATGCAGAGGAATATTTTAAGATGTGGGAAGAGGTTGTGGCAAATAAGAACGAAGGTAAAACTGTCAAGTCAGCGTTTCTTTTTTTCTTTCCACCCCACTCATTTTCTTAATCTCTTTTTCTATATCCTTTTTCATCATCTCCCATCCTAATGACTTTGAATATCTGGACTATTGTCTCTCCATTCACCTCTTTTGCTGCTTTTCCCATTCTCCCCCATCCCTATCCTGGCTTATCTCATTCTCCAGTTACCCCTGGATCCTGAAATGTAAGGGAAGGGGAAAAGGCTGTGTTGCTAGTTGATGGGGAAGTCACCAGTAAAACCTAACCCTTTAACCTCTTTTCTATTTGTTTCCTGATCTGTCTTCTGATGTATCACTGTGTACTTTACTATTTCCTCTGAAGTCTTTCCATGATTTTAAGGTCAGCATTTTAAAAGAGGAGCTTGTCTACAGAGCTCAACTGGGTAAATGTATACTCAGCACCTAAGCTACAAGGTTATCTTCAAAGTACAGTGAAGTTATAAAAGGAAGGGTATGTCTTACCTGTAGAGAATGTGCTAGAGGCAGAAGAGACCCTTCCTTCCCTCTGTTTTCCCCCAGGCTGTGTTTCTATCAGCCTTCTTGCTGAATTTGCCATTCTGTAAGGGCACTATTTTTTTTTTTTTTTTTTGAGATGGAGTTTCTCTCTTGTTACCCAGACTGGAGTGCAATGGCGAGATCTCGGCTCACCACAACCTCCACCTCCTGGGTTCAAGCAATTCTCCTGCCTCAGCCTTCCGAGTAGCTGGGATTACAGGTGCGTGCCACCATGCCCAGCTAATTTTTGTATTTTTAGTAGAGACGGTGTTTCACCTTGTTGACCAGGATAGTCTCGATCTCTTGACCTCATGATCCACCCGCCTTGGCCTCCCAAAGTGCTGGGATTATAGGCGGGAACCACCGTGCCCGGCCAAGGGCACTATTTTAAACTGATTGTCCATGAAACCTTACATTTGCAGACGATTTTTAATTTATAGTTAATTCATATTCTCAAGATTTCATCCCCTCCTCACATCCTCTTTAGAATAAGCTGGGCATAAACACATGTTTACCAGGAGCCCCTTCAGCCCTGCAGCCTCTTGAGTCTTGGGATAGAGTGAAGAACAGATTGTTCAGCTCAGAGGTCTTTAGGGGAGCACCTTTCCCTCGTGATGCTGATGGCATTATGGGAACAAGTGCCATAACAAGCTCAGCTCAAATATAATAAGTACATCTGACAAAGTAAAAAATTCCTTGGTCCTAATGCTTTCTGAAGTAGCATCTCCTCCTTCATTCTCATACATTGCTCCATATTTGTTTGTAGCAATATTCTCAGTTTCCTCTTAGTTTCTTCTCCTTCCCCTCACTGCTCTTCATTACCATACAATGTCAAGAGAAGATTTTGAGATAAAACCATGTAGGAAGGATATAAACTTACTTTTAAAGAAACTCACAAAGAAGGTTCTAGAAGAATGGCTCATCAACTAAAAAAAAAAATTGAAGTGTTTGTGTAATGATTTTCTTCTCAAGATTACAAAATTCCAGAGAGATAGCCATTCTCCACTGCACAAATCTGCTTTAGTGTTTAACAGACTCCTTACCAGCAGGGGAGACCAGAAAAACAATTCCACAATTTCAGAGCTTCTGCTGTATTCAAGGCTCTGTACTTAACGTAAGGAACACAAAAATGCAACGGTCTGCCTTTCAAAGATCTCCACAATGAACTCCCAATGGCTGGGTGCTTTGTGAATCAATGACCCAGGAGCTGTTTTAGTTTTTTAAAGACACTTGCCATATTGCTTTGTTCAAGACAATATTTATTGATTTTGATTGATTGGATCCCTTCTCCCATAATATCCAATATAAGCTTAATTATTCTGTTCCATAAATATTAATTGCTTAAGCTATTGAATTACAACAACATTTTATCATTCTAAAGGGCACCCAGATATGGCATTGAATGGTTTAAAAACAAAGACATATGGCTCAATATCTTTATTTGATAAGAAAGAACTACCTTTTTCACTCTCCTTGCTGGTTCGTCCTTTATCTCATCACCAGAAAAATATGGAAGTCTGTTCTTGGGACCAACTCAACTCCATCCCACTGTGCTGCACTCCCAAGTTCTCCACAAAAAACTACCAGCAATCAGACACTCCTGGGTCACAGTTATAGCAGCATGATCCTGCAGGGAAGAATCTCGGAGTCACATCCAGTACACAGAACACAGATAGGCAGGCTAGCACGAGGCTCATCTGGTTTAGTTTTAACCTATTTAGCGACCACTTGTCCAGCCCACTACTTTTTGGCCCCCAGTTCTTGCTAGATTCTAAGTCCCTGGCCACCAATGAAAAAGCTCTCATCAACGATGTTTCCATGGATAGTGAATCCAGAGGAACCTCAACGCTCTGCAATGTTGATTTCCTCATAAATGAGGGAACCATTTATGTATTTAGCAATGAGTTTTAGAGCCTTCAGTGTGTACCTTGAGCTCTTTTAGGCTTTGAAAGCACAATGAATAAGAAAAAGTCATAGCGGAAGGGGGAGTCAGATAACATGCAATTATAATGCTACAAAGAAATATGGAGCAATGTATGAGAATGAAGGAGGAGATGCTACTTCAGAAAGGGTTAGGACTAAAGCTCTGTCTAACAATGTAATACTGTAGCAGAGAGCTGAATGTGTGAGATAGAAGAAGAGTCGATGGGTAGAGATAACTGTCAAACAGTTTTGCTGAAAATGAAAGCAGAAAAGGGTACTAGTAGTTGAAGAGGGGTCTGGAGGTTCTGGGAGGATCATTTCAGATGGAAGACACTGTAACTTCCTTGCACACTAATAAGAATGATCCAGTGGAGACAAGAAAATTGATGATGCATGAAAGGAGAAGGAAAATTTCTGGTCAATGTCCCAGACTAGGATTGAGTGGAGGAGGCCTGTGTGCAGGTAGTAGGTTGGCCTTAGACAGGATTTCCAGTGGGGTGCTTATCTTCCCACCCTAAGAATAGACAGGAATCTCTTACTGAAATTTGTTCATTCAACTGTTTTTAATTTTTATCAAAATATCAAATAAAAAGTGTTATTTTATTGTCAATTGAGCCCTTCTTCATGTAGTTCTCATCCACTTGCCTTCCCACTTCTATTCGTATCCTTTGTTCATTTTTTAATTGTCTTTCTTTTTGACTAGCAAATAATAACACACTGATGATTTTGGACATTGCAACTGCTTTCTCCTGGTTTGGCATGAATTCATTAAATCTATCACAGTGTACTGTGTTCAACAGAAATTTCTAATTTTTACCTAGTCAAATCTATCTGATTTTTACTTCATGGTTTAGGTGTTTTGAATCACAAGGGTATTCTCCTACATGTACTTTTATTAAGTTAACAAATTTACCTTTGCCTCTTTAGTTGAATAACACTTATGTCTATTAGACAAACTAGGGGTTCAAGAAGGTCAAAACTGAGCTTGAAGCATATCTACACATGCACATTTCTAGCTATGATGGTTAATATTAGGTGTAAACTTGCTTGGATTGAAGGATGTGAAGATGGCTGTTAACTGTCATCTTAGAATTCTACACCCAGCAAAATTATCCATCAAGAATGAAGTCAAAGTGAAGACATTGTCACACAAACAAAAACTGGGAGAGCTGGCCACCAGGGGCCTCATTGAAAGAAATTCTAAAGTCTATACTTCATGTCAAAGGAAAGTGATTGCCAATGAAAGAAATGAAAACCAAGGAAAATGGTAAATACGTGGTAAATTTAAAAGAATATCATATGAAACTATAGTGATATTATCATATGATGTTTTAGGCAAAATGAAAAAAAAATTAAAATATTGGCCACCAGTAACATATTGGTCAGGAGAGTTAATGAAATCAGTTTAAAAATCTAAAGTCTTCATATAGTTGAGAAAGGATGATGTTAACTTTAGATTTAAATATGTTAGGATTCATGATGTGCATTCTGGAGTGAAAAACACTGAAAGAATAGAAATGATTGTGTAACTGTTAGTTCAAGTCCACAGAGAAGAAGATGCCAAGACAGGGCTAGAAATGCAATCCTCCCTGTTGGAGAAAGTGCCAGGGAAGGGCAAAAGGGAGGAAGTCTCAGAAAATGAGGAGAACCTTAAGCCTATGATGCAGGCTGACATCTGTGAAAAGGGGGAAGGAGGGACTGAGTTTGATCCAAACTATTAATTAGGGAGAATGTTCCAGGAAAAAAAAAGGAGCAAATACAAAGCCAGAGAGGAGAGAGGGCTTATGAAACATTTCAAGACATGCAAAGGTTTCAATATAGCAAGAGGATCATGCAGGGAGCTCTAAATAGCAAGGTAGGAGGAGACTGAACAGGTCAGTAAGGGCACTGTTACAAAAGGCCTTGCATGCCATCCAAGAAGGAATTTGGATTTTAACCTGAAAGCACTGAAAGCAATGGGAAGTCATTGACTGATAGCTTCTGAGAAAACATTTACTCAACAAGTATCAGAGCATATTCAACATCTCAGGCACTCTGTGGCTACCTCGGAACAAGACAGACACAGACCCTGACCTCCTGCTTCAATCAGGATTGGCAAACAGGAAACGTAGGTTTTGGAGTAGGGCCAATCAGTAGATGCTAATGTGGGGGAACAGTGGGTTACAAAAATGAAGCCATGTGAGTAAAAGAAGCACAAGGCTCAACCAGGGGCAGAGCTCCACAGTGTATCAGCAGGGCTTGGACTAGGGTAAGGCAAGCAAGGTACCCAGGGGTCGAAATGTAATGAGGCACTTACTCTGAGGCTCATGCTCATGCTTGAGAATGAGTACCTCCTTATATTTTTCTTTTTTTAATTTTAATTTTAATTTTAGAGACAGCATCTCACTCTGTTGCCCTGGAGAGAGTGCAGTGGCACCATCACAGCTCACTGTAGCCTCTACCTCCCAGGCTCAAGTGATCCTTTCATCTCAGCCTCCCAGGTAGTTGGAGGCATGTGCCACCATACCTGGCTAATTTCTGTATTTTTTGTAGAGACAAGGTTTTGCCATCTTGGCCACGCTGGTTTCAAACTCCTGGACTCAAGTTATCTGCTTGTCTCAGTCTCCCAAAATGCTGGGATTACAGGTGTGAGCCACCATGCCCAGACTCAGTTTTCTTTGAAATAATAGTTTTATTAAGATATAATTCATATGCCATACAATTCATCCCTTTAAAATGTGAATTTCAATTTTTGATATATTCACATCCATCACCACTAGATAACTTCAGAACATTTCCATTACCCTCCCATACTTCCTCCAAATCTCTGACAACCACTAATCTATTTTCTGTCTCTATGTATTTGCCTATGTGGACATTTCATATAAATGGATTCAGACAATATGTCTGTCTGGCTTCTTTCACAAACGTTCTCAAGGTTCATCCATGTTGTAGTGTGTATCAATTCTTCCTTCCTCTTTATGCTGAATAATTTTCTACTGTATAGATATACCTTTTGCTTATCCACTCATCAGTTAGTAGATGTTCAGGTTGTTTCTACTTGTGGCTATTATGAATACTGCTACATGAACATTATGGACATGTTTTCACATGGATGTTTGTTTTTATTAGGTTGATGCAAAAGTCATTGCAGCTTCTGCTATTACTTTTAGTGGCAAAAAAACAGCAATTACTTTTGCACCAACCTAAATGGCTCTCTTGTATATATACCTAGGAGTTGAACTGCTGGGTCATATAGTAACTCTGTGTTTAGCTTTTTGAAGAACTGCCAAATGATTTTGCAAAGCAGCTTCCCCATTTCACTTTACCACCAGCAATGTATGAGGGTTCCAATTTCTCCACTTCCTCATCAACACTAGTTATTTTCCTTCTTTTTCATTATAGCCAACCTAGTTGGTGTGAAGTGTTATCACTTCATGGTTTTAATTTGCATTTTCCTAATGACTAATAATGCTGAGCATCTTTCATGTGCCCTGAACAAGTCACCACCACCTATCATCTTGGAATCTAAAGAAATGAGAGAGATAAAAGCATCTCCTCAATTATGTAGGACATTCTGGGCATACAGAGTTCTGTGTCTCTTCTATACCAACAAGGTGCTTAACTCCTAGCAGGAGTTCAAAACTGATACATTTACCAATATGGAACAAACATTCCTAGGTTTTAGTCACAGGTTCTGGCTTATATCAAAATCGCCCTATAATTTCATTTAATTTACTGGTTAACAGAAGTCTCAGGATTTCTTTAAAAACAGCTTGCTTACAAAGCCCTTAGAAAGGACGCTTTTTTAAACCCTCTTAGTTGGCATAAACTACTTTTTGCTTGCACAAAGTCTCTTCTCAGACACAGGAGAATAAACCTGGGCTTTTGTTTTTGCTTTTCTGAGTTGAATTTAAATGTCAAATATTCTTGGTTTAGACAAAAACACTTGCCAGACTATCAGGCTAGCACAGTTAAACTTAAATGTTCACGTGTGATTTATTTGGTAGCAGAGTAAATTATACGACTTGTTTATATCAGCCTTGTCAACAGCAAAATGAAGCCATTTACCAAAAAGCCATATTGATGCAGGATGCCTCTGTGGCACAGGACTGAAATCTGACTAAAAGATATCAAGACACACCATCTGTGTTATGATTTATGACAATGCTAAAGAAAGAGGCTGTTAGACTGTTTGCTAAATACTAAATACATTAAGGGCTAAATGCAACACTTGGTATTGCATTTTATTATTTGAATTCATATTAAGCATATCTTCCTCTGAAATGCACTGCAGTTGGGGGGAAAATATTTTCCTTAAATCTGATTTGTTTTGAATGAGGACATTCATGGAAAAGTTAGACATCGGCTTATTAAAAAACTTCAGCTAACATTCAGAACAGTTTAATTACAGAGAATTCTTGCAATTAGACCCTGCAGAAAACTTATCCCTGAATGAAATGTTTCCATATTTTGCTCTTTATTTTTAAGGTTGACTTCATCAGCTATGAATCTATTATGAACCACTGCACTGGAACAAACGTATCCTAAGTAAAAAGAAAGACAACCTCTTGTAACTAATGAGGTATCAATTAAATTTGAATTTTGCCTTTTAAAAGAGTTTCATCACAGTAAGATTTTATATGGAATCAGTAGCATGTCAAATGCCTGCAAAGTATAGAATAAGGACAAAAATAACTTCTACATTGAAATGAAATTCCAACTTACATTTTTGTCTATTATTTTCCCTTTTAATTAAACTATTCAATCCTACATTTTTTTTCAGATTTCATTATTTCTATCATTGGAACATGAATTCCAGTTCTGACAAGTAGTAAACACAATTCTTTAAAGATTTTTGTTTATTAACATTGAATTCCTGAATAAATATCTATCTCTAACAAGGTAATACTTATTTTTAATGGTTTGCAAATAAATGTTTCTTTGATTTCTCATAGACTCAGAACATCCTCAAAGAACAGAACCTTCAGCCCAGAATTTCATATCCAGCCAAACTAAGCTTCACAACTGAAGGAAAAATAAAATCTTTTATGAACAAGCAAGTACTCAGAGATTTTATTACCACTAGGCCTGCTTTACAAGAGCTTCTGAAAGAAGCATTACACACAGAAAGAAACAACCAGTATTAGCCTTTCCAAAAATATACCAAAAAGTAAAGAGCACCAACATAAAGAAGAATTTACACCAACGAATGGATAAAACAGCCAGTTAACATCGAATGGCAGTAACCCTAAATTTAAATCGACTAAATCCTCCAATCAAAAGACACAGTCAAAACCCAACAGCATGTTACATCCAGACCTGTTTCACATGCAAGGATACACAAAGACCCAAAACAAAGGGATGGAGAAAGATTTACCAACCAAATGGAGAGCAAAAATAAATAAATAAATAAATAAAAGAAGGAGTTTCAATTCTTGTATCGGATAAAATAGATTTTAAAGCAACAAAGATATAGTGGTAAAAGGATCAATGCAACAACAAGAGCTAACGATCCTAACACCCAGATACATAGACTTAGATTCAATGAGACAGAAAATTAATAAGGATATCAAGGACTCGAGCTCAGATCTGGAACAAGTAAACTTAATAAATATTTATAGAGCTCTCCACTTCAAATACACAAAATATACATTCTGTCAATACCACATCACACCTACTCATAGGTTTAAATGAAACATTGATTGGCCATTATTAATACCCATTTTTTTTTTTTTTCAGAATAAAGCAATATTTTCGTTCACCCTCCCTCTTTCTCTTCCTCTTTCTTCCTCTCCTTTACTCATTTTTTTCTTTCCTTCTCTCAAAAAAAGAAAATTGAAGAAAAGAGTCAAAGAGGGGTCCGTGTGATTGTTCCATGGCTCCAAACCCACCCTTCCATTCTCTGCATTGCAGTGCTGATGCCGGGACCCCGCAAACAACATTTTTGCTTTTCCAGCTGCCTCTCTGTCAGATTTTGCCGTAAGATTTTGCACTCGAAGGAGATTGCAAGGCTGAAGATGAAGAAGGGACTTGCACTTTCTATTCGCTTCTTCCTTGCTTCTTGTTTACTTCCTGTTCCTGTGAGCGTCACTCTAGCACCTTGGCAGCATAGGTCCCTTCTTTTAGCAACAGTTGAACCCAGTTTGCAATTCTTCCAAAATTTGTGGAGCCATCCTCATTATAGCCCCTCAGAGACACTAGTCTTAGGGTCCCCTCCTCAGAGGTGTGCTCAACCACACAGAGCTTCTCCTTCAAGTTCAGAGACATCATCATGAGTCAAGCTATGGCCCCATCTCAAAGGACTGAATTCCAGCTCTGGGGGTAAGGGGGCAGGGGGGCTTTTCCTCCAAATTTATGTTTTAATTTGTTTTAATTCCAGCTTCTTCCCTTTGATGCCCTGGCCATAGGGATAGTAGCTGTTGCTGCAATTGGTGCCTTCATGATCGATCGTTTCTTTGTTGTCTCTTCAGTTACCTAATTAGCAATTTAAGACATGGTTAATAATTCTTTCTGTTAAATTCTATCTGTTAAAATAACTGGTGCGACTTCCATTTCCTGAGTGGACACCAACTATATGTGAATTTGTCCCAGGAATAGTTCCAAGAACAAAAAACATTTAAAACTGTGATTTGGAGATTGGTTTTGTTATGTCCTTGGGCTTGAATGCTATGGTAAACTCCCTAACAATGGAGCATGGGGACTAGTGATCCATACACTGGCATTACAATTCATCAAATTACACCTGTGGTTGGTTATAATGACTTTCTTAATGAATTAAGTACTTTGGGGGAAACAAGGGTTGCTTCCCTCAGTTGTTTTTATTTTCATTGTTTAGTTTTCTTTTATTATTTTGGCTTGTCCTATAATCATTGCAGCCAGCTGTCTTTAAAGAAACATCTATGGTTTACCATTATTATTATTTTTTATTTTTCCATAAGTTATTGGGGCATGGGTCGTATTTGGTTACATGAGTAAGTTCTTTAGTGGTGATTTGTAAGATTTTGGTGCACCCATCAGCCAAGCAGTATACACTGCACCATTTGTAGTCTTTTATCTCTCACCTCCCTTCCCACAAGCCTCCAAAGTCCATTGTATCATTCCTATGCCTTTGTGTCCTCATAGCTTAGCTCTCACATATCAGTGAGAACATATGATGTTTGGTTTTCCATTCCTGAGTTACTTCACTTAGAATAAGTCTCAAATCTCATCCAGATCACTGCAAATTAATTAATTCTTTTTTATGGCTGAGTAGTTTTCCATTGTATAAATATATCAGCTTTTATCCACTCATTGATTGATAGGCATTTGGGTTGGTTCTACGATTTTGCTGCTATAAACATGCATGTGCAAGTATCTTTTTCGTGCAATGACTTCTTTTCCTCTGGGTAATTATCCAGTAGTGAGGAATCTCCACACTATTTTCCATAATGGTTTTACTAGTTTAGATTTCTTCCACCAGCAGTGTAAGTGGTCCCTGTTCATGACATCCATGCCAATATCTACTGATTTTTGATTTTTTTATTATGGCCATTCTTGCAGGAGTAAGGTGGTATTGCATTGTGGTTTTGATTTGCATTTCCCCGATCACTAGTGATGTTGAGCATTTTTTCATATGTTTGTTGACCATCTGTATATCTTCATTGGAGAATTGTCTATGTCCTTAGCCCACTTTTAGATGGGATTTCTGTTTTTTCTTACTGATTCATTTAAGTTCATTGTAGATTCTGGATTTTAGTCCTTTATCTGATGTATAGATTGTGAAGATTTTCTCCTACTCTATGGGTTATCTGTTTACTGTGCTGACTGTTCCTTTTGTGGTTCAAAACTTATTTAGTTTAATTAAGTCCTGACTATTTAAACTTTGTTTTTATTGCATTTGCTTTTGGGATCTTGGTTATGAAATCCTTGCCTAAGCCAATGTCTAGAAGGGTTTTTCCAATGTTATCTTCCAGAATTTTCATAGTTTCAGGTCTTAGATTTAAGTCCTTAATCCATCTTGCGTTAATTTTTTTATTCTTCTACAGCACCATTTGTTGAAAAGGGTGTCCTTTCTCCACTTTATGTTTTTGTTTGCTTTGTTGAAGATCAGTTGGCTGTAAGTATTTGGATTTATTTCTGGGTTCTCTGTTCTGTTCCATTGGCCTATGTGCCTATTTTTATATCAGTACCATGCTGATTTGGTGACTATGGCCTTATAGCACAGTTTGAAATCAGGTAGTGTGATACCTCCAGATTTGTTCTTTTTTCTTAGTCTCTCTTCGGCTATGCAGGCTCTTTTCTGGCTTCATACGAATTTTAGAATTTTTTAATTCTGTGAAGAATGTTGGTGATATTTTGACGGGGATTGCATTGAATTTGTAGACTGTTTTTGGAGGTATAGTCATTTTCACAATATTGATTCTACCCATCCATAAGTATGGGATGTGTTTCCATTTGTTTGTGTTGTCTATGATTTCTTTCAGCAGTGTTTTGTAGTTTTCCTTGTAGAGGTCTTTTGCTTCCTTGGTTAGGTATATTCCTAAGTTTTTTTTTTGTTTTTTTGTTTTTGCAGCTATTGTAAAAGGGGTTGAATTCTTGATTTGATTTTTCCACTTGGTTGCTGTTGCTGTATAGAAGAACTATTGATTTGTGTACATTAATCTTGTATCCGGAAACTGCTGGATTCTGTTATTAGTTCTAGGATCTTTCTGGAGAAGTCTTTAGGGTTTTCAAGGAAAACAATCATATCATCAGCAAACAGTGACAGTTTGACTTCCTCTTTACCGATTTGGATGCCCTTTATTTCTTTCTCTTGTCTGATTGCTCTGGCTAGGACTTCCTGTACTATGTTGAAGAGGAGTGGTAAGAGTAGGCATCCTTGTCTTGTTCCAGTTCTCAGAGGCTTCCCTTAACTGTTAATGAAATAATGTTAATTACAAGGACTGTGGCATTGATTAGATTCTTCTGAGTGTACTGGACACTCATAGAATGAAAATTACAAGCTCAGAGCTTTACATGCTGAGCTTAAGCAACAGATTTCAAAGAATTTCTATCATAGCCCTAAGATAATCTCGTATTTCTTACAGCCACAGGACAAATATTGTTGAAAGCCAAACTCAAAATTTAACTGTACAGGCTGCAGAAATACAACATAAATTGAATTCACCTCTCTCTAAGTCTATCAGGTAAATTGGGCCAGTGATTGGATAGGAGTGAGTCTCGAAACTTAGAATAGGAACATCTGCTTGGGTTCAGAAGACCTTGAGAATTTTACACCTTTCCTGCCACCCCTGTCATCATTCTGATATTCTCTTGCCAATGGGAGGAGCTTGCATTCTGCATGTCTAATTAGCCTACATGTTCCTTGCTTAACTACCCTGTAATAATCTCCTCTGAGCCAGTGCCTTATAAGGGGACATTCATTGTCCTGAAGAGTTACCTTAACACTCCTTGTTGCCACCAGGTTCATAATGAAGATCAGATATTATCATGCTTAAAGGGGTAAAGGAAATAGTCTGACCTGAGAGATTTGCTTTTTTTTTTTTTTGAGACAGGATCTCACTCTGTCACCCAGGCTGGAGTACGGTAGCACAGTCATGGCTCACCACAGCCTCAACCTCTTGGGGTCAGGTAATTCTCTGACCTCAGCCTCCTGAGTAGCTGGGACTATTGGCGCCTGCCACCACGCCCAGCTAATATTTGTATTTTTTGTAGGGACACGGTTTTACCATGTTACCCAGGCTAATCTTGAATTTCTGGGCTCAAGTAATTTGCCCAACTCAGCCTCCCAAAATGCTAGGATTACAGTTGTGACCCACTGTGCCCAGCGAAGACTTGCTAACTGTATTAACATAAACCTGGAGCAAACATGTGAGGATGCAAACTAAAAAATGGAAGATAAGCTCCATGAAATTTCTGATCTAGAACATGCCATCGTCTGAGGAGAAAAACAAGTTGTTGTATCTTTTACCACCTAAACTAAAAATGTGGCATAATACTGGATGTGCCTTTTTTTCAGATTTTTAGAAGGAACTATTTCTCACTTTACAGTGTGCTACTTCAATTCATTTACGAAATACATGTAAGTCTGTCTGCTCTGAGTGGAGAGCAGAGGAGAAAAAACTCTAAAGCAGATCTGAACTGGCGTGCAAATTGCTCTTCCAGTGGGTTTTGTCACCCAGCATTTACAGCATTGTCTTATATTTCCCCTGCCTGTAGAGTAGTATTCCACTGTACAGGCAGGGGAAATATAAGACAATGAAGTTACAGGCCAATTTTATTCAAGAGCCTGGATGCAGAAATTATAAACAAAATTGAGCAAACTGAACTCAGTATGTGTAAAATGCTACATGTAAGTTCCATG